ATATTTGAGTTTAGCTGATGTAAGACATATACAAACACTCTATTAGTACATTGGTATTTAAATTCATGTAATGAGTTTGACCAGTCTCTGTCAAGGTCGATACATTGCAGTTTCCTGGAAAGCTTTATAATATGTTGGCGTTTATTGAAATTGCTATTTACGTGTAGGTTGTTTTTTTGGTATTTGAGGCCCTTTGAAGGCATTATATATCAGCCTATAGAGGTCCAATGTGATCAGGTTTGATACTGCACATTCATTTCTGAACTTCAGAGTGCTTTCCCTTATGAACATGACATTTCTTAAACTCATAAATGTGGTTTTGTTTTTGTGTGTAGACCCTGCAGCAGGTCTCCAGGCGGACCCTATCCAGTACTGCACGCAGACAGCTGGAGAATAAAGTCCCTGTCAAGCAGAAGTTGTTTCAAGTTAGTCCTCTAGACTAGTTCTGATCTAATCCAGCTAGACATTTTAGCCAAAGATTTCACTGATTTAGTTCCTACATCTTCTTTGTCCTCTTTGGCACTGGCTAATGGTAATGTTAAAGTTAAGACTGCAGTTTGTTCCCAGGTTCTGGACTGATGGTCCAGTGTGGATGAACAGATAAGTATCAAATGATTCGCTAATAGGATTCACTTTTATAGTAAGCTGTAATTACTAATCACTGCATGTGCTGTCATGCTGAAATAGAGTCTAATTAAACAAGTAGAGTAAAGCTTCACTTATTCCATAACTGCGATATCACTGGCTTTGACGCTGGCACATTCTGCTTACGGCAGTCTGGCGGTAAATTGAGGGTGTCTGTTATATTGTGCTATGTGTCTGATCAATTACGAATGTTCAAAAAACAAGTGACCAAAACAAGTGTTTTCTAAAAACATAAGCGTTTGCATACTTCGAGTACTTCTATTAAAGGAGATGTGTAGCATTATTCTTACTTCCTAAATATGCAAATGCAGAATTTGGCTTTTCCTCTTCAATCTGTTTTTATGCTTTACACTTGTGGCTCCCCAAAAGTGCGTGCCGATGTATCAAATGCTAATATGTGGTTTCTGTTTCTTTCAGGAAGACAATGGCATGCCAGTTCATTTGAAGGGAGGCACGACAGATGCTCTCTTGTACAGGGCAACGATGGCTCTTACTGTCTTTGGTAAGCTATAGATATTTAGCTTGCCATTTTGGCGTTCATTTGTAGTATTTTTTGCTTGAACTGCCTTTCATTTTATTCATCTGGAATCTTGGGATTACAGTCAGTGTGGTTCATAATAGCCTAATGATTAATAACTCCAGTAAATAATATTACATTAATAACGTTTGTTTTGTAAATACTCTAATAGGATCTCTTTAGGGCCTTATGAAATTTGTTCAAATAAATGTAATAACAAATAAGAAAGTTTTTAATGTTTCTGGATTGTGTCCAGATTGTTGGATTGTGTTCAGTTTTAATTATTAAATTTTCATAATAAAAAAGCATGTCTAATTACTAGAAATCATGAAACAGAGATAATTTAACAAGAATTTGTTAAATTTAGGGTCCAATGAAATCTGTTTTATTTTTCTCAAATTATGGTTAATGGTTTAATTAATTAAATTAATGATTTACTTCAATTTAATAATCAAAAATGGCTTATCATCCGAATTTTATTATTATTATTATTATGGTTATTACTTTATTATTTTATAATTATTTAGTAAAAATATATTATTTTGTTTTATTATTATTATTATTATTATTATTATTATTATTTTAAGAATTAAAGTTTAACAATTTTATTTTTGGCAAAGAAAGTGATACTGTTAAAACATGGAAGAAAAATTGTGATCCTTAAAGTTGTAATAATTTTATTATTATTATTATTATTATTATTGGAGAATGTTTTTGTGGGTCCTGCAATACAACTATACAAACAAAAAAGAAACCCTAGAAGTAGTTCATTCATGTTGTGTGCTATATTTCGAGTCGTGTGAAACTGAAGAAATATGCTGAATATAGCCCATGTTTGCATATCGCTTGCCGCAATAGACGGTGCTGACGGTGATATCGGTGTTAAGCCGCAACACCGGTTATGTCACTTGCCCACCGCGGCACCGACCTCCACCGTCGTTTTGATATTTTATGGTAATAAAAATCATTTAGTTCAGTAAAAGAACAGACACTACAATTAAAAACTGAACGCGGCTGCTCAATGCAGCGTGCCGAACGACAGTCGCATCACACAGATCAGATTTCATTTCTCCAGTGAGGAGAGTGAGTCGAGCTGACTGACAAGAAGAGTGAGGTGAGGTGAGACAGACAAGACGATCGCGGATGATTTAGTTTCGAAACGAGATGCAAAAGCGCCTGTTTGGCAATATTTTGGATTTTGAAAAGCCTGTTGACTTTTGCCGTTTATCTAAGGTGATCTTGGAAGTTTTTTTAAACATTCGTTTCTTATTTAATTGGTTCCACATTGTTTGCTGATTTTTACTTTATTTAAACTGTCATTTATTTATTTTATTTGACATCAAGGTGTATGCCCTGCCTCCAAGCTTTCTTACTCGTTTTGCTAATAAACATTTTTCGTTTCTTATTTATTTGGTTATATATTATAAATGTTTACTTATTTCCAGTTTTGTATACCTATTAAACTTTATGTAAGTTATTTGTTATTTTATATTAGGCATAGCCTGCCCTATAGCATGGTGTATTTTTATTTGTTTTGTTAATAAAAGTTATATGTTTTATATATA